AAGAACCTTTTGAGAACCTTCCAGAGTACTCAGAGACTCAAAAATTGGTACAGATTTTCGGAAGAACCCGTTTTGCAACTATAATAAGTTTCAAGCTGCTAGCATAAAATATAGAGAAGTTATAAGGGTGGGTCAGTGGTCAAACTCAACTGAAACCCACTATACATACAGTTAAAAGTTTCTTCAAAGATGTTACCGGTAATATCAGTCCACATTCCAAACATTTCTCATCAGCCAAAGAAAGAAATAAGCTTGCAAGATTCATAAAAATTACTCCTTTAGGTAAATCAAAAGCCTCCTCCATACTTAAGTTCCTCTGTAAAGGTCCGATATAAGTACGTGTATTACCAACCCGCTCTTTTAATAATGCAGGAGATGAATAAGCAGCTGATAAAAGAGAATGCAATTTTCTTGCACAGGGAAGGCGTTTGCCGAGCTGATATCCACCACCGCTTTCAAGTTGAGGGAACGCTTCATATGACATCTCTAAATCCTTCTGGACTCTTGTCAATACTTCAAAATTCAACAAGCTTCTCTCCTAATCCAGCTTTCAAAAGATCATCCCTGTAAATGGCTGTCATCGGTACTTTGATCTCTCAAACGGTGGGTAAACACACAAACTTATGCATCCAAGCTTTTTTCTTACGAGAGAATAAGTGTGACACTTCATCCTTTTGACGTCTTTTTCGAAAACTAGAACCCCCATCTAAACCGCCCTTTATCCCTTTAAGAGCTACAACCACTTTGCAAGCCAACTTCACATTACTTAAACAAATTAAATAATTCATTTGAAGCAAATTGCTATTTATAATAGCTCAAAGGCATAAGTTATAGGACATGTTGGTAGGCTTGGCTTTTCCAATAACAACAAACTTGCCTAATTCACACCAAGACTAACCTATACATGTGGGGTCTTCAGGTCCAGTCTCACTTGGGGGAGGCAGGCTGATCTGTGGCTTGGCTTGGTATATCACATTGCAAGCTATTGATGAATGCCAATACCCTTTGCAATTCCTCTTCATCATATTCAGCATATCAGCGCCTGCCTCGATTATCAAAGTTGCTACTGCCTTCGTCAAAATCCCACCGGTGCCTATTAGCTCTACTGTCAGAGCTGCTACTGCTAGCACATTCATTCTGGCGCCTATTACAATGATCAAAGCCACCACCACCTTCATCACACTGGCGCCTACTATCTCCATTATGGCTGCTGCCACCTACAGCCCCATCACAAATGTGCGTACTAACTCCCAATGAGCGGCTACCTTCACCAAGACGAGGCTGTGATTCACGAGAGTTCCGACCTCCACTGGAAGATGCCATAACAATACTCCATGTGACTCGATACGCAAGCACACATCGAATTACCGCCAAGTGAGCATTGTTCATGATTACAGTGTACAAAGTTGTTATCAAGAGCAGAGAACAAAATTAAAGAGAGCAACTGATGAATAAAGTAAGGTAATAATCATGAGCTGCATGAAGTAATACATAATAAAAATTTAAATCTCTCATGCCTTGTACACAACCACAGTAGTGCAGGTACTATCATATAAGCGGCTGGACTGAGCCAGAGTATAGCTTTCACCATGAATTTGTGATGAACCTGTAAACAACATCAAAATATCAATACAGCAACAATTTTGTGCAGCCATCATAAGGTCAAAAATAGGCATAATTATAAAGATATGCATGTGTTATAAATAAATTACCATTATGGCATTTATCTAGAAAATCACTAAAAGAACATAAGTATGAACTTCTTTCACTTTCCTACTGGAACCTTCTGCTGAATATTGCACATGAAACATTAAGTTTTTACGGTCATCTAGAGTACAAACAACACAAGTTCGAAGCACATTATTCACTATAATAAACAATGGCTTCCATGATTCTGGCTCTTTTCTTATGCCTTCACACTGAAGCGTCTTGGAGACAGTTAATAAACTGGTCAATTAAATTATCCTTGATCACCAAGTGATACATTGTAAGAGATGAGATCCAATCCCATCGATCAGCCACTGTCAGAGTTAAAACAGGTTTAGAATAACCCATTGGAAACATCAAATCACATTGTTCGGCTCAAACTTATGAACAACGTAAGAGATATGAATGTAATGGAAACAATAAAATAAGAAATTCTCTCATAGTGACAAATTTGGCTAAGGCCCCTGTACTATATATACTACAATGTATTAGGCCTGATTTATGAGCAACTTTTTAAAAATTCAAATTTGGTCGGAATTTGTTAAAAAAGTTGTACAGGTTCAGTATCAGAAAAAGTTATAAAAATTTTCCTTGGGATTTTTGTGTAAACTCAAGAGCATATAAAATGCTTCACACAGCAACTCAATTAAGAAACAAAAATTTTAGATAAAACCAAAGCTGCACTTGCTTGTTAGTATCAAATCTTGGTTTCTTCCCATCTTTAATAGCATCTATGAGGATACATCTACGCCTGACATTAAGCTTAAGTGGAGTAAGTTCATAATCATCTGGCTGCTTCATATGAATATACTGGACCAAAGAGCTCTGTCAATAAAAATAAGAATAACGAACAAGTTTGTAAACAGGACTCCCTCATACTTTTCAACTCCTGAGCTACAAAATAAATCAAGACTCTGTCCAATGCCAGCAAGTCATCATTGTCAGAACTTATCAATGCCTACAAAATGGTTAAGCATTGCCAGCTTTAATGTAATCAAAACTTACCACTTCATTTGTCTCTCTTTGATTAGTAGGAGCACTGTATGTTTAAAAATAAGTCAAATATATTTTATAACTTTAAAAGTACCTGTCATCATCATTTATCCTTATCCCACTGGAAATAGAAGGAGTGCTGTATAATAAAAATAAGTCAAATATCTTCTACAACTTTGAATGTACCGGTTACTAGAGATGCACGAACCATCATTTATCCTTATTTGTCTAGAATCAGGAGTACTATATAATAACAAATTAATTACTCAAATATAGTCTAATATAATTTTTAATGTACCGGTCACTTCAGATGAATGAATCATCATTTATCCTTATCTCACTGGAATCAGCAGTACTGTATAATAATGATAAGTCAAACATAATCTACTACTGTAAATGTCCGGTCACTAGAGATGCATGAACCCTTATCTCACTGTAGTTAGAAGGAGTACTATAATAGTAAAAATAAGTCAAATATAGTCTACTATATTTTTAAATTTACCAGTCACTACAGATGCGTGAATCATCATTTATCCTTACCTCACTGGAGTTAGCATAAACAAAAATAAGTTAAATAAAATTTACTACTTTATATTCACCGATTAAAAGAAACAGGTACCAGGTCCATTGAATCAGTGTCACTATCACTATCAATAATTACGCTGTCATTCCTGTAATTCAATTAAAATTAAGTATAAATGAGCATGTATCAAGAACTATAAACCCACATTCTACTACACAGACATATTAAATGCTTCAGTAAAGCGAATGGTGATTTCAGCCCACACTCCAAACATTTTTAATACTGCAATGACTCTGTCAATCTTAAAAATCATTAATAGGCATAATTAATAGATATGCATGTGTTATAAATAAATTACATTATAGCATTCATGTAGAAAATCAACAAGAAAACAGAAGTATCAACTTCCTTCACTTTCCTACTGGAACTTTCTGCTAAATATTGCCCATGAAGCAAGTCTTTTAAGACATCTAAAGTAAGAGAAACACAAGTTCGAAACATATTATTCACTTTAATAACAAAACATCCATACCTGATGACAAAGCCCTTCTAATTATTACAAAAAAGGCTCTTTTCCTATACAACTCAACACTGAAGCATCTTGTAGACAGTTGATAAACTGGTCCGTTGAAGACTTCACCTTGATCACCAAGTGATGCATTGTAAGAGTCGAGATCAAGTCCCATCGATCAGCCAGTGTCAGAGTTAAAAGAGCTTCGGAATAACCCATTGGAAGCATCAAATTGCATTGTTCTTCAAGAGCCAAAACTGCATACAATTCTTCATCATTACTGAACTTTAATACCTAAAAGGAAAGGATTAGTAGCATAGCAATAAAGATATACTGTATACCATGCAAATGATGAATACAAATTATGCCGTAAAAGGTTCACTATAATGACTTCTACATTTATGTAGCAGAAGCTGACATGTACCTATTTCTTGTATATAGCTCACTTTTGCACGCTCTCTGAATAACACCATGCAATATAACACACACACACATAAGGGTTTCCAATAAAGCATCCAAAATGAGCTAAACAGCATGCTTTATAAGCTGACAAACACCACAATGCAATACACAGCATTTAAAGTTAAGTCAAAAATTTTAAAAATATGTCAAATATTTATTGAAATAGTGAGAACAACATAAACAAGCGTAAGAGGGTAAAAATATTCCTATAATTAATTTCACCACCTTGCAAGTACAATTTGGTCATTATTAAGACTTATACAGGTTCTCCGTACCTTATAATGCCTCTAGAGAAGTCTTTAGACAATATCTCTATGCTCTCTTGCTGTTAGAAAGCTCTTAACTTTGTCCCATGTGTAAGCTGCCATTTTGTTTGCTGTGGCTACACCCACTCACGGAAAGGAACACGGGCTGGTGGTTGCTAAGGCTTGTCATTTCTCCAATACAACATCAAGAGTTAGTGATGTTTGATACCTGAAAAATGAATTTGGTTCATTTCCGAGTACGTTTTCCCAGTGTATCGATGGTATCAAGTACGATTATATAGTCCAGAGGTGCTCCAGCCAGTTACTGCTGCTAGAATTGACCAGGAACACTAAAAGCAAGTTTCATTGTTCACTTCTTACTTTTTCACCATCTCAAAGATTAAAGGAACCAGCCAGAAAGACTGAGAAAGTTCAGAGAGCTGCTGGAGAAGCATTATTTATTATTCTAGGTGTTAATTTTTTAATAAAAATATTTACATTTTAATTTTCAAATAAACTAGTAATTTATTAACTATTATTGCTGTTAAATGGGTGTGGTTGTACTCGTAATCTAATCTTTTGATACTGGAATTGCTTTCGATACCGTTTCAATCCTGAGTATTAAAGTATCGAGTATTTTGGCATCGGTATTGAACATCACTCTCAAGAGTACATAATACCAAGGGTAGAAAATAATTAGAGGAGAGTGTCCTACTGTGCAGTAACCCCTGCTTCATCACGTCGTAAAATTTGAAGAGTCACATTCAGGATATTTTCAGTACTTTGGAGTAGTTATTTCAAAAAAACTAGCAATAACTATAACAACTCAATAAAAATACGGAAGTATCCTGAATGTGACTATTCAATTCTACGCCGTGATGAATCAGGGGGTATCGTGCACAGTAGGACACTCTTCTAATTATTATCTACTCTTAATAATACTATTTGAGAGTATCGAACAGCCCTATACAAGCTACTGCATGTGAGGGTGTATTTGCTCAAAGCCACAATCTGAATACTCTAGTATACTTTATCAATGATTATTGTTATCAGACATTGAGTTTCCAATGTCATGAGTTGGCAGTGCTTGGGGCACAAACTCCTGGATAGTAGCAGGGCTGCCTTTGTAATTCATCTTTTCAGCCTTCTTTTAAGTTCCTTTCTTGTATTGGAAGAGATTGCCAAGTTTTTAAAAGCCAAGGGCCAGATTTTAATGCCACAAGGTTGATCACGTGATAAGGTAAGTATACTGGAGTATGCAGACTGTGACTTTGAGCAAATATGCCCTCATGCAGCAGTCTGCTATAGGACTGTTGGATACTCTCTTTAAGTATTATGTACTCTTGACAATTAACATGTATAGAAGAAATGTAAGTTGGACATACAAATATCTGGTTAAAGCTGATACACAACATAAGGATAATTGTGTAACACAAGGATAATTATGTACATGAATTACTTTAATGCTTGAAAGTGCAACTCAATTGAGATACAAGAAAAACCAACAATACTGAACAAACCTGCATTTGCTTGCTAGAGGTGTCAAATCTTGTTTTTCATCCCATCTTTTTCATCCAATTCACCATACCGGCGCTGGTCCTTCACCGCAATCCCACCAACTCCCACTATCTCGACTTACGGAAGAGCTGCTAGCACCTTCACTGAATAAACCTCTGTCATAGTAATGATAACTATGGCTCCTACTATCCCGATTATGACTTCTACCACCGTCACATCTGGGCCTACTCCATTACAACCATCTCCGTCCAAACCACAGTGCCTGCTATCTCCCGAGGAGCAGCTACTAACACAGTGACCAAAAACTGAAAGCCCACCATCTATATATACTACCATGATGTTTACCATACACGTTTTCAATGACAATGAGCATGCACACATCCCCTTGGCGCCAAGTGAAATTGGCGAATCATGAATTTCTAGCTTTCAGCCAAATGCAACCTGAATTACCTATCATGGTAAAGAGCGTAGCTTGATACATCAGCCTTGAAACAAATCATGCATACTGGAATTCATACTGATTCAGCCAAAGCAACTTGCATAATTCAGCTGCATTTGTAACCAGATTCCATGGAGCAGCATTATGTTGTATCAGACATGCTAACTCTTGGCTCCGTATGCTAAACTCAAACTATACAGGCACTGGTATAAATAGATTATATTTAAGCAACACCGAGTACATTTGGCAATTAGAAAACTCAGTAAAAATTAAAACAATATATTTTTAATGATAACAAAAGTTACTACAATATTTGGAACCTGGTTTTTGCCAAGCTATCACTGACATTCTGCTTTTCCACAGTTATAATTTCTTGGGTTTTTGCAAAGCTATATAAATACGAAATATAAGGAACGAGCATGAAAGTAGCTTTGTAATACACAAACTTGAAATTACTCCTTGTGAACAGGCTTAGTTCCATATGCCACTCACATGCAACAAACCCAGCAAGGCTTTCCAAGCTTTAGTTCTTGTGTGTTAAGGATGAACCAACTTCAGTGTTTCACACCTATTTAGTATTACATAATGATTACAATGTGCTTATTAAATTAATAAAAACTAACTTATACGGCACTAACAAATTAGTAGCTAGCACACAACTATGCTAAAGCTTGCCATTATCTAGACACAAATTTACTACAAGAAAAAAAAATACATAAATAGGGCACTTCCTCATCAAAAAACAGTAATTTCTAAGTGAAAATGTAAGTTACAAAATTCTTAAGCTTCAAACATACCTCAAAAATAGAGACTAAGTTTGGTAATGAATTGAAGTTTTATAGTTATTATAAATACTTCAGTTTTTCAATATGGAGACAATCCATGAAAGGAAGGCCTGTACATCCTTTGGTCTTTTCATCAATATGTACGCTATAGAGCAAAGCAACAAATACCCAAACCCAATAACATTAAACGAAATATAAACAAAAAAGAAGGGCAATATTATAGTGATTTCATTACAGCTATGTATTGCCTTGAAGACATCCTTTCAGGAGGATCATTGCAGTAAATATCATTGAAATTTTCCACATTAGGCTACAAATTCTGGATGAAAAGTCTCATCACCATATTCAAATTATAAGGTTAATGAAAAATCCCTCATGTACAAAAGAGAAGTCTTTGTCCAAAAGATTAATTTATGTTATTGTTTGAATCAGTTAAAATGAATGATGGAAAAATCAAACATGTAGTCAAAGTGCTTTCACTGTAGTTAAAATATAAAGTAACTTCAAGAGGAAGAATTTATAAAAATATTTCAAAACTGAAAAAATTGTACTCATCTAAAGGGTTACTTTTGTGTAGAAGAAATAAATGTAACAAAATTTAACAACTGACTTATAGCACTGACAAAATTAAATTGGAATAATAAATATGCCACAGTATGTGCAATGGTGAAGAATAAGGATAGAAGCTACCAAATAAGGATGTAGTTATGTTATATTCAAGTACTAGGATGGCATTTTTTA